ACTACTCAGTATAACAGCTACTCAGGATTGCTGCCGCGCCATCGCATCATCTTCCTAATGGACGACACTGACCCTGCCTCGAGCAGCTCTGCAGCACGCCGCGTGTGTAGCGTGTGGCGTGTAACGTGTAGTGTATGGTGTGTAGTGTGTAGCGTTTGGCGTGTATCGTGTAGCGTGTAGCGTGTGGCGTGTAGCGTATATAGTGTGTAGCGTGTATAGTGTGTAGCGTGTATAGTGTGTAGCGTGTATAGTGTGTAGCGTGTATAGTGTGTAGCGCGTATAGTGTGTAGCGTGCAGTGTGTAGCGTAGAGTGTGCAGCGTGTAGCGTGTAGTGTGTAGTGCGTGGCGTGTTATGTGTGGCGTGTAGTGTGTAGCGTGTGATGTGTAGCGTGTATCGTGTTCCATAGATATGCCTCTCACGCCGAGGCTACATTTGGGCCATTTGGCGGAACTAAAAAAATATTTCTGCCCGAGGCAGGAATGACCTCAATTTTCGTGTCATCACGAGGAAAATGCCTGATATGTCGAGCAATGCGCAGTATTTCGATGTAATACTCTAAAACATAAAAAATTCCTCGATTTACGAACACATCAATAGTACCTAGAAGTATAAAACACAATGCTGAGGACTCCGGGGCCATACTTTCAAAAAAAGTTAAGAGATCGTAAGTTCATCAGCCAATCATTGACGGCCTTTCAAGCCAAATCCACCAATCATAGACAAGAAAATACAGCGTAAGTACTTACGTTCACTTAGCGAGATCTGAAAGTATGACGCCTGGCAGGAGTCGGTTTAATTACGAACCTGATCTGGGTTGTAGTACACGGACAGAATGGTGCTACCGATCATAAATCGAGTTTTAACCTACGTATGCTCACAGGCAGAAGATAAGGCACTGAAAAATATCTCCCCTATTTTTAGTATGATTATTGCACGTTTCATGATTATCTTGAACTTTAGTATTATTTTAGTTCCAAGTCTAATACAGGGTGTTTCAGAATTAAGTAACCCTTTTAATTTGTTAATAAATAAAAAACTAAGAACGTTATGAAGTTGAAACTTGTTTTATTTAAAAGAAGAACATTTTTATGGTAATATTGTATCCTAGTTTTTAAATATAATATCTTTTAAATGCCCACCACAATTGTTTTGACAAAATAGGGCTCTTCTCTTCGTTGCTTTCATAACCTTCATTAGTGTTTCTGACGAGAATGCAAATTTTTGATATCCGCAAATTTTCGATAAAGATATTTAAATGTGTTTTTTGAAGGATCCTTGTTTTGAAATGGATCCTGTAATCACAGATACAATATTACCATGAAAATGTTCTTCTTTTAAATAAAACAAGTTTCAACTTCATAACGTTCTTAGTTTTTTATTTATTAACAAATTAAAAGGGTTACTTAATTCTGAAACACCCTGTATTAATGTATGAGTTATGTTAATTTTAAGTGTCATTTTAATTTTAGGTATTATATTAATTTTAAATGTTATTTAATTTCAGGTTTTATATTAATTCTAAGAGCTATTTTGATTTATAGTATTATTACTTTAATTTTATGTATTATATTACTTTTGAGTGTTATATTAATTGTAAGCACTATATGAATTTTAGGTATAATATTAATTTGAGCATTATTATTAACTTTATGTATTAATAAAATTTTAAGTATTATTTTAATTTTCAGTTTTATTTAAATCTTTTTTACCAGTTTAAATTTTGTTAATTTTTTTAATTTCTAGTATTGTTTTGATATTCAATATGTCCTTTTCCGGTAAATTAATTATCCTTTCTTCTAAAGTTTTCGTCCGATCTGACTTTCCATGACCAAAAATTTAGTTTCGTATCAATAAAAATATTTTGGGTAGACATATTCGTTATGTCGAAAACTTCATTGTCAAATAAAGCTTAATTTCTTAATTATTTTAATTGTTTCCAGTTACAGTTTAAGTCAAATTTAATTTTTTTCTCATCTGTAGAATATGTCGCATTTCCGATCTTGTACGAATTTTGCAACCTGGCGAATAATTGTAATTTTATTAATAATTAACTGAGCAAAACTTGACTTTGGGAGACATTTTTTATAGGAATTTTCCCAATATCAACAAGCGATATTGAGAAAATTCCTAAAAAAAAATTATACGATGATATTAACGAGCGATGATTTTAGAAGTTGACATGTTGACGTATCAAGACACATTAGTCTCAAGATCAAAATATTTGTATTTAATAATACTTTTCTTCTCCGTATTCGTCGATGCTCGATGTTTCAGGGTTTCCTGCACCTCTATAACATCGTACTAGTTCTGCTCTACGAGCTATAATATTATTAATATATGACTAGGAAAATATCTTTAATATCCATGTATAAGATATTGATCAGTCGTTGCGCCGTGCTGGTATCAATGGTATTTTTTATACAGGCACTAACCACACCGGCATTAATTTCTTTAAGTAATTAAAGACATGGATTGTCCAAGTGTGTTTTCCCAAATTCAGGGAATATTCGTCGGGGTAATTCATTTCAACAGCAACTGCAAATAATTATAGTAAATAAATTTTTTCCTTGATAACTTGAAGTAATTTAATTAATTATTATCATCATATATGATGATTACAGACTATAAGTTCATGTTAAATTGGACGTATGAAAGAAAGCAATTTTTACTTTTCATTTATTTGCTTGAAAAAATTGGCAAATGATGAACCTGGTCTGAGAAACATTCTTGATGACAATATATTTATATAACTTTTTTCATTCTCTGATTACTTGTGATTGAAACATAATAATGATGAAGCTAGCGTGAGACCAGTACTAATGATGAAGCTTGAGTCATGCGGTGGTCTGCGTATAATAAAACAAAAGGCAAACGTTCCAAAAACAAACTACCATCACGAGCACCGTGGGGAATTTCCTAAAGCGACATCAACAAATTCTCGTATGGTCTTGATTTACCGACGTTGAATTCGACTCAAAACTCGCGCACAAGCCAAATACATGCAACGAAAACTCGTGATCCTTGAGGGGTCGCGGTTGCCTGCATTTTGCTCAGCTCAGCTATTCCATTTGCGGCCCAAAAATCGCCCCCCAAGAGGGCCCTACAAATGATCTCGCTGGCTATCAGTAGAGGCTCTTCAAGAGCTTAAGTTTTTGCTCCGATCCTGGCCTCCGCATCTGCTAATTCCCACTAGCAGTCAGCGTCTAACTCTTTCTCGTTCTCTCTCTCGAAGGCTAAATCTAACCCTCTAACTCCTTTATAACTATATTTTCTATTAAAATATTTTGTAAAAAATTATTTAAGTCAGTTTAAAAAATAGAGCAGTGCAGTTAACTTCGGATTTAAAACTAAGAGTCTAATTAAATCGCTTAAAAAACTCACACCTTCTGAGTAGGCCCCTCTAACCTGCTGTAATATATACAACCTCAAATAAATGAACAGTCCATTAGTCCGACTTTTTCCCTCTAAAAGAACTGATGCACGAGAAAAAGAGTCGTCTTAGCGATCACTCCAGGGACGCTAAGCCTCAGTGAGTAATGGAGTTTAGGAGCCTGCTCCAGCTTAAGGCTTGTTAAGATGTCGTATCTCAAAACAACAGCCGAGGCGAGGATTAAAAAAAATAATTAGTTCGTATAAAACAACACTCGAAAAAATTGTTCGTATAAAAGAATAAGACTCAACACACAAAAGTAATGGGTAATATTGTCCAAATTGTGATATACTTTCTGTACTTAGCACTGATAAGTCAATTTGCAGGGCCAATGGAGATCTGGATAATCCACACGGATTGAAAATTGAATCGCTATTTGTAAAAAATCTAATCATTTGTCTGAGATAAATTTGCACGAGTAAGCAAATTAGGTAGTAAGGTTCAGTGGTCTGGAATATTTAACGAAAATAGCATTTAGATTGTGATTAGTGATTACTTTGAAAACTGCGGCGAATTGAACGAAAAATAAAAATAAACGCTATGGGTAACTATAATAAGAAATTTGTTTGGGCGAAATAGCGACACACTTTCTTCCTCTCAGCACGAGCAGGAAGCGGACGTAGTTTTGATACGCTCTGTTGTGGGCTAAAACAGGTCAGGGCCCATACTTTCAAAAAAGTTAAGAGATCGTAAGTTCATCAGCCAATCATTGACGGCCTTTAAAGCAAAATCAACCAATCATAGACAAGAAAATAGATCGTAAGTTCTTACGTTCACTTAGCGATTTTTGAAAGTTTGGCCCCAGGACGATCCATACTACATTAAAATGTTCATTAATGTATTGAGTAAGTCTTATTCTTTTGAGAGTGTTCGTTCGTGCAATTCTCGAGACGATGCGAGACCACGAAATGACTTGCGACCCTGACAGATTCTCATGCACTCACAAAAATAAGTTAGATTTTTTCCAAACAACGATCACATTTTACCTTTGTGCGGGTCATTCTGACCCAGTTTGACCAGGCACAAAGTGTGTCAGTGCTACGTACCATTGAGTATGCCACATTTTGTACAGTATTAATGTTTTTTATTAATTTTTCACAAATTTTTTTTTATCTAGATATTGTATCACGAAGGTATTCGAGATACCGTAGGGAAGTGAACTCTAAATAATTACTAAATACAAGTAGCTTAACTGACACAGAGGGCACTAATTATATCAAACAATTGAGATAAAGTTTAGTGAAATATGCAATAGGTATAACAAACAATTCCGCGCATCAATTTAATTTCTTAATAAGACATGTTAATTGAATTACAAAATTTTCCGTTAAAGTAAAAGTCGATTTAAGTCTACAGAACAGGGACAGGACAAACAAAAAATGCGTTGCAGACAATGTTGCTCCTCGGTCATTGAATTACTAATTATGAAACGTTTCTTCGGTATTTCAAAGCACCTCCGCTGCAAAAATGATACTAAATATTACAAAATGCAATTACTTTACGCTAAAATGCAGGTCATCTACTAACTAGAAGTAACGAATCTTGCAATAACTGTGGAACATCAATAAATTCATTTATTACACTCTCGCTCCAATCAATAAAGGCATTTAACTTCCAGGTTAAAATTGCATTTTTTCATTCTATACACTTGGTCATTTTATTACGCTTAAAATTAAAAAAATTACTTAAGATTACTTTCAGTACCTGAGCCGAAATTATAGGAGAAAATTTGTACGTCATCGACCTAAATAAGTATTAGGTGACATGGTATAGTTAGTAAACTGAACATGTATACTTGGTATACTGAAGATGGTATAGTTAGTATACTGAACATAGTATTCTTAGAAAATCTAGCTGACTGTGCAGTGACCGCAATTTCATGATGTATCTTACACCAAAATAAATATAGCTTAGGAAGTTTGGGTGAACCATGTCTATGACAAATGTTTTTTGCTCAAAATTTTCATCGACGTTTCTAATTAAACGTTGACGCAATTCTTAGAAATCTTCATCATTGATAACTCTGCGCTCCCACTGAAGCTTATCAAAGTTGGAATGAAATTTAAGGGCATTTTTTCAGGTCTATTAATTGTAATATAACAATATCAAACCATCAGCACAGAACGTCCTAGCATAGAGATCATCAATTATCAGTTCCTAGATTAAAACCTATTGAGGTGCGTCAAAAATTTAACAATAATGATAACAACAATGGAATAGTCAACTCAAATAAGGATACGACTTAATTGTGCTTCATTGAAAAATTAATTTTTATTTGAATTGAAGGAATAACCTCGCCATTATTACTGCATTCAACAACACGGAGAACGCATTCAAAATTATTATAGATGCATTTAATAAACGAATTAAAACCAGTGAGTTATTCAACGCTGTTAAAATTTAATTACACGAGGTCAAAGGAGTCAGTCATCATAAAAATGTTACAGTCGTCTGCATCCACGACCCTGCAACTCGTATCATCGTCCCTGCAGCTCGTATCATCGTCCCTGCAGCTGGCATCATCGTCCCTGCAGCTGGCATCATCGTCCCTGCAGCTGGCATCATCGTCCCTGCAGCTGGTATCATCGTCCCTGCAGTTGGCATCATCGTCCCTGCAGCTGGCATCATTGAACCATTCAATGGAAGAACCAAGGAACCATTTAATGCAGGAACCAACGAACCATTTAATGGAGGAACCTCTGAGGAGTCATGAACCATTGAATTTTGGTTCATTGTATTACCGAACGCAGGCAAACGGTCACTAAAATTTTCTGCTTGCTGTTCGTTGTAATCAGCAAATGGTAGCGAATTGCGATTATCGTGTAAACTTTCACCGTAGAAAACCGCACCATTGTACTCGATTGGGGTGAGATACCGCAGATATGTTGCGCCATTCGATCCGCCATTCGATCCGTCATTCGATCCGTCATTCGATCCGTCATTCGATCCGCCATTCGATCCGCCATTCGATCCGCCATTCGATCCGCCATTCGATCCGTCATGCGATCCGATATTTGTTCCACCATTTGCTCCTTCATTTGTTCCTTCATTTGCTCCTTCATTTGCTCCTTCATTTCTTCCGCCATATGTTTCGCCATTTGTTCTTTCATTTGTATCCCTCGGAGGGGGCGAAGGCAGCTGAACACACGGCGGTATATTGGTCCCTGAAGTCGTCGGTACTCCCATTGAAGAGAAAGGTAGTTCATAAGGATAATTAAGCGGCGCTGGCGGAGCAACGTTTCCCAAAAAAATCGGAGGTAAGACAACTGTACATCCGCGGAGCGAATAGTTAATTGTCTGAATAGCGGGGGAAATCGCAGTGACGTTCTCCATACTCGGTCCACCAGGGCCACTCGGCCCACCAGGGCAACTCGGTCCAAGAGGGCCACTCGGCCCACCAGGGCAACTCGGTCCAAGAGGGCCACTCGGTCCAAGAGGGCCACTCGGCCCAAGAGGGCCACTCGGTCCAAGAGGGCCACTCGGTCCAAGATGGCCACTCGGTCCAAGATGGCCACTCGGTCCAAGAGGGCCACTCGGTTCAAGAGGGCCACTCGGTCCAAGAGAGCCACTCGGTCCAAGAGAGCCACTCGGTCCAAGAGAGCCACTCGGTCCATGAGAGCCACTCGGTCCATGAGAGCCACTCGGTCCAAGAGAGCAACTCGGTCCAAGAGAGCAACTCGGTCCAAGAGGGCAACTCGGTCCAAGAGAGCCACTCGGTCCAAGAGGGCCACTCGGTCCACCAGGGCCACTTGGTCCACCAGGGCCACTTGGTCCACCAGGGTCACTCGGTACACCAGGGCCACTCGGTCCACCAGGGCCACTCGGTCCACCAGGGCCACTCGGTCCACCAGGGCCACTCGGTCCACCAGGGCCACTCGGTCCACCAGGGCCACTCGGTCCACCAGGGCCACTCGGTCCACCAGGGCCACTCGGTCCACCAGGGCCACTCGGTCCACCAGGGCCACTCGGTCCACCAGGGNGTCCACTGTTGCCATTAAGTCCACTGTTGCCATTAAGTCCACTGTTGCCATTAAGTCCACTGTTGCCATTAAGTCCACTGTTGCCATTAAGTCCACTGTTGCCATTAAGTCCACTGCAGGCACTAAGTCCACTGCAGGCACTAAGTCCACTGCAGCCATTCAATCTGCCGCGTTCCTTCAGCCATTCAGTCCACCGGTCCACCGATGGTACACCGTGGCCACTCGGTGCCGATGCAGGAGGCGCAAGTGGTGTGGCAGAAGGCGCAAGTGCCGTGGCAGGGGGCACAAGACGTGTGGCAGAAGGCACAAGTGTTGTGGCAGGGGTCACAAGTGCCGTAAAAGGTGGCACAATAGCCGTGGCAGGTGGCACAATTGCCGATGGATGTGGCACAATTGCCGATGGATGTGGCGCAATTGCCGATGGATGTGGCGCAATTGCCGATGCAGGTGGCACAATTCCTGTGTCAGGTGGCACAATTGCCGATGCAGGTGGCACAATTGCCGATGCAGGTGGCACAATTGCCGACGCAGGTGGCACAATTGCCGATGCAGGTGGCACAATTGCCGATACAGGTGGCACAATTGCCGATACAGGTGGCACAATTGCCGATACAGGTGACACAAGTTCCGTGGCAGGGGGCACAAGTTCCGTGGCAGGGGGCACAAGTTCCGTGGCAGGGGACACAAGTTCCGTGGCAAGGGACACAAGTTCCCTGGCAGGGGGAACAAGTTCCGTGGCAGGGGGCACAAGTTCCGTGGCAGGGGACACAAGTACCGTGGCAGGTGGCATAAGTGCCGTGGCAGGTGGCACAAGATCTTGCGCCACGTCGTTGTCAACGGCTAGGAAGTCTCCAAACGTAAGACGAGATGTGGTCTCGTTCGCCAATTTTGATGTTTTTTGAGCGATTCCATTTCTTACGGACTCTGCTGATTCGACAGGAAGCACGCCATGGGCTAAGCTGCTGACTTCACTCACCGAAGAAGTACCTGATCCCTTTAGAATCGTCGAATAGAATACTCTGGTTACCAAAGTATTGCATTCCTTGGTGACATCCACAGCAGTCGCATTGCTGCCTGAGGCAGATTGTAAAGGCTGGACAGACATGCTACTGCTCCCAGTAAAACATGGTTTTATTCGAGAGGTTTTCAATGAGGAAAGTTCCTTGGCATTAACAGCGCTCGACCTTTGTGAAGTGGATGGTGCATTCCTATTAACTTGAATAGGAAACTTCTGAGCGGAACCATCCGATTTTCTCGTGCTGAAAGCTGAGCAAGGGCTAGCCATAGAGTTCCCTTTTACCACAGGAAGTTCGCTGGATGAGACCAATTTAGAATTATTGGTACGGGATGAGCCTTTCTTCTTCGGTTTGGAAGGTGTGCTTGGCATCTCCGTACAACGGAATAACTCAGGAAATTCGTGAGTAGATCGAGCCCAAACACTTTTCTTGCCTCTGCGAAAAATCCTTCCTCTTGTAGCAGAAGTTGCACTCGTTTCTCCTGATAATTGATTCCTTGATTCTAGTAAACCCTGTGCAGAGGATAGCTCACACTGATTTAAACCGAGTTTCACAGGCAATGGCCTCCCCTCTCCCTCTATCATTTCCAAAGAGCAACCTATTTCTTCAATATTTGTTGCCGAAAATGCAGATTCACCTATTATAGAACATTGAGATACTGGGGTTTCGGCTTTAGACGAAGTTTCTTTCTGAAATCCTGGAAATTTTGGAGGGTCTAACAGGCTTGTGGAGGTCTCTGCTTTCGAAATTGTTTCACAGAAGAATTCTACAGATGGCAACTCACTGGACACATTTTCTTCCGATTTTCCCTCACTGGATTCAGGATTTACTGATAATCGCCTCCTGAAGTTTGCCTTCTGAAGGGAACGATGGGTTTCAGCGACTGAGGATGAAAGTTCGCTGCCAGCTAACGGAACTTCACTGCAATATGATGGAACTTCACTGCCAACTGATGGAACTTTACTGCCAACTGATGGAACTTTACTGCCAACTGATGGAACTTTACTGTCATTTGATGAAACTTCAATGCCAACTGATGGAACGTCACTGCCAACTGATGGAACGTCACTGCCAACTGATGGAACGTCACTGCCAACTGATGGAACGTCACTGCCAACTGATGGAACGTCACTGTCATTTGATGGAACTTTATTTTGGGCTGTTATAGTGACAACTCCGACCGATGCAGGTTTGATGGTGAGACATGAAGGCTCGTTGGTGAGGCGCCATGTTTCATTATTTTCTAATGAAGCTTCATCGTTGGCAGATGGTGCATAAGTTATCAATGATTTCGATCCAATTTTGTTAACTGAAATTACATGTTCATTTTCGACTAATATTGATCTATTTTCCATCAATTCAATTTCACTTTCTGTGTATATTAATTCATTCACAGAAAATATGGATTCTTTCTTGGCAGATTCTGCTTCATTTATGGCAGATTCTGCTTCATTCTTGGCAGATTCAGTTTCATTCTTGGCAGATTCAGCTTCATTCTTGAAAGATTCTGCTTCATTCTTGGAAGATTTTGCTTCATTCTTGGAAGATTTTGCTCCATTCTTGGCAGATTTTGCTTCATTCTTGGCAGATTTTGCTTCATTCATGGCAGATTTTGCTTCATTCTTAGCAGGTTTTGCTTTATTTTTGGCAGATTTTGCTTCACTCTTAAACGATTTAGCTTTATTTTTGGCAGATTTTGCTTCATTCATGCCAGATTTTGCTTCATAATTGGCAGATTTTGTTTCATTCTTGGCAGATTCTGCTTCATTCTTGGCAGATTCTGCTTCATTCTTGGCAGATTCTGCTTCATTCTGGGCAGATTCTGCTTCATTCTGGGCAGATTCTGCTTCATTCTGGGCAGATTCTGCTTCATTCTTGACAGATTTTGCTTCATTCTTGACAGATTTTGCTTCACTCTTGACAGATTTTGCTTCACTCTTGGCAGATTTGGCTTCATTCTTGGCAGATTTGGCTTCATTCTTGGCAGATTTGGCTTCATTCTTGGCAGATTTGGCTTCATTCTTGGCAGATTTGGCTTCATTCTTATTGCTTCATTCTTGGTAGATTTTGCTTCATTCTTGGTAGATTTTGCTTCATTCTTGGTAGATTTTGCTTCATTCTTGGTAGATTTTGCTTCATTCCTGGTAAATTCGGCTTCATTCTTGGCAGATTCTGCTTCATCCTTGGCAGATTCTGCTTCAACCTTGGCAGATTCTGCTTCATCCTTGGCAGATTCTGCTTCATCCTTGGCAGATTCTGCTTCAACCTTGGCAGATTCTGCTTCATCCTTGCCAGATTTTGCTTCATTCATGGCAGATTTTTCTTTATTCTTGGCGGATTTTGCTTTATTCTTGGCCAATTTTGCTTCATTCTTGGCAGATATCTCTTCATTCATGGCAGATTTTTCTTTATTCTTGGCCGATTTTGCTTGGTTCTTGGCAAATTTTGTTGGATTCTTGGCAGATTTCCCATCATTGTTAGCCGATCTACCCGACTCACTTTCATCCAAATTGAATTGCGTTAGTTTCTGAGCAGGCGAGTATCCATCCTTTGCTAGTGCAACTTCCTGTATTTTTGGCAGCGCTTCATTTTTCATCGAATGTGCATTAATTTTGTTAAATTTATTCATTTTACTTTTCCTTTGCTTGTTTATCTGTTTTTGATCTTCTGCAGTCACAGTGCCGTTCATATCGACCGAGGCGTTGCTGGTCTCAGCTGAATAATTGACTTCAGCAGCAACATTTCCGTCATCAATTAATGTCTTCTCAGATAATAAACCTAATACCATATTTTGGGCTGCATTCAAATACCGAGAGGCGGCGATTCTGATTTTGTTCAACTCAAGAACACCATCCTTGTATGCGCAGTAACTGTCATCAGCAGGCAGACGACGTTCTAAAATATTCATTTCCCGTTCATCACTGCATTTCATTTGAGCAACGAAGCAGTTTCTATGTTCAATTGCCCATCTCGTTAATTTAGATGATGCCGAAGATCTTTTACTTCCAGTTTTTCTTTCAAGGGCAGCATTGTTCTTTTCTGAAGTTTCATGAACGAAAGAAAGCTGATCGAATATTGCAACTGAAGACAGAAGAAGGTGACTTGCGAAAAGCAGATGTTCAAGCAGGCCTGGAGAGCACATTTTTCATTAATATTAATAATAATCAATGAACAGTAATGACATGTTTATTGCTCAGCAGAATATTACATGAATATGGACCATCTAGTTCAGTGAAAAATATTTACAATAATAAACTCGTCTCTGTATTCCTTCATCCTGCCCTGCTGCAGGCTGCTAGCCTCACCAGGCTCAGACCTCCTGCCCTGCTGCAGGCTGCTAGCCTCACCTGGCTCAGACCTCCTGCCCTGCTGCAGGCTGCTAGTGCAGGTCCTACGTATCTCAGTGCACAGATAAATAAGCGCGGCCTTCGCTGCAGTTTCTTCCTTCAGAAATTCTGCAGCCAAGCGAGAGGAATGCTGCAGATCTTGCCTGCTGGAGGGATTTGTCCTGAGGAAATACATCATCTATCATTTATTAATACATGATTAATAAATGATTAATGTGATTAATCTAATTATTAATGTGATGTAATGATTAATATCAATAATGTAATGATTAATGTAATGTAATTATTATGATTAATACCAACAACTGACGAATTTTATCGTAAATTCTTCAATCGTATCAATCCGCGATTATTATTATTATTAATATTAGCACCATTGCAAGACGCCCGTACCTAATATTTTCTTCAAATTCATTGATTAATCTCATGGCCCTGCCTCACAACACCACGCCTCACAACACCACGCCTCACAACACCACGCCTCACAACACCACGCCTCACAACACCACGCCTCACAACACCACGCCTCACACAACACCACGCCTCACACAACACCACGCCTCTCACAACACCACGCCTCTCACAACACCACGCCTCACAACACCACACCTCACAACACCACACCTCACAACACCACGCCTCACAACACCACGCCTCACAACACCANNNNGCCTCACAACGCCTCACAACGCCTCACAACGCCTCACAACGCCTCACAACGCCTCACAACGCCTCACAACGCCTCACAACGCCTCACAACGCCTCACAAAGCCTCACAACGCCTCACAACGCCTCACAACGCCTCACAAAGCCTCACAAAGCCTCACAACGCCTCACAACGCCTCACAATGCCTCACAAAGCCTCACAACACGCCTCACCTCCAGTACTGATCAAGGAAGCAGTGTAGGTAGGATACGACGCTCGCTGCGATGTAGTAGCGCGGGAAGTTCTTGTCCCTGCCGGCGACCGCGCACACGTTCACCACCTCCGCGAACGTGCGATCAGAGCAACACCCCGCGCCCTGAACGCGGGGAGAGAAATCTCCACCACTCGGGGCCAATCTCCACCACTCGGGCCCCCATCCCCTATCACTCGGCCCCATCTCCACCACTTGAGCCCCATCTCCACCACACGAGCCCCATCTCCACCACTCGGGGCCCACATCTCCACCACTCGGGCCCCATCTCCACCACTCGGGCCCCATCTCCACCACCCGGCCCCCCATCTCCACCACTCGGGCCCACATCTCCACCACTCGGGCCCCCCATATCTCCACCACTCGGGGCCCACATCTCCATCGCACGGGGCCCACATCTCCACCACTCGGACCCAATCTCCACCACTCGGACCCATCTCCACCACTCGGCCTCATCTCCACCACTCAGGCCCATCTCCACCACTCAGGCCCATCTCCACCACTCAGGCCCATCTCCACCACTCAGGCCCATCTCCACCACTCGGGCCCCATCTCCACCACTCGGCCCTCATCTCCACCACTCGGCCCTCATCTCCGCCACTCGGGGCCCACATCTCCACCACTCGGGGCCCCCATCTCCACCACTCGGGGCCCACATCTCCACCACTCGGGGCCCACATCTCCACCACTCGCGGCCCCCATCTCCACCACTCGGGGCCCATCTCCACCACTCGGGCCCCATCTCCACCACTCGGGCCCCATCTCCACCACTCGGGTCCCATCTCCATCGCACGGGGCCCACATCTCCACCACTCGGGGCCCTTATCTCCACCACTCGGGGCCCTTATCTCCACCACTGGGCCTCATCTCCATCACTGGGCCTCATCTCCACCACTGGGATCTCCGCCACTCGAGCCCCATCTCCACCACTCGAGCCCCATCTCCACCACTCGGACCCAATCTCCACCACTCGGGCCCACATCTCCACCACTCGGCCCCCATCTCCACCACTCGGCCCACATCTCCACCACTCGGGGCCCACATCTCCACCACTGGGCCCCATCTCTAGCCTCTTATTGCCACTAATAACTCAATATTCGAAAGCTTTAGCCAAACAATATGAATATTTACCACAATTTCATGTGAACCCACCTTCAGTTTTGCGTACAGAAGGACTCCTGAGAGTTGCGTGAGTGCGCAGTCAATGAAACAATTCTCATAGGCGATGCTACTCGTAAGATCCAGACACTTCAGCATACGAGATGCTTTATTGAAGCTGCTGTAACTTAACTGCACAATAAAAATTATTGTCATCTCGTCTTTAAAACAGCAATCGATGTTCTGGAGTTTTACAATAATGGGATATTAAGAATCAGGAATACTAAAATCATGGAACATTAGTAATACAATACGCTAATGGAATATTAATAATAATCAATAATAACTATAATTTCAAATTATCAGATTTTCTATGTCGATAACGATTCCCAATATACTCTTAAAATGTATCAGGCTTATGCCACAGCTCATAAATTTGTGGGAATTTGCGAATATCCACCAATAAATATCTAAATATCCAATGCATGTAAGATTTTTTGGCAATCCAGCTGTAAGTGATTATTTTTAGTAACTTGAAAAATTCGAGGGCGCCTCAAGCCATGTGAAACGTCCGCTTGAAGAGCTTGAAGATTCAGTTTCATACTTCAATGGAAATACAATGACAATGAATTTTCGTAAGCAATCAGCACCTGGTGACATTAGCAATAGCATGTCTCTAAAAAAAACTCGAAGTCACAAACTCAGAATCTCACAATCAGTAAGTCTCGATAAATTAAACGTATTTTTAAAAAAATCAAAAAAGATCTCAAAAACCCTAAGAAAACAGAAAATTCAACAAACTTTAGAAAATGTCTCGAAAAAATCGTAAATTTTTATAAAAAAAATCAAACATTTCCAAATAACTCGAAAAGCATAAATGCCCGGAAAAAGTTCCCAATAAGTCTGGAAGAAATAAAAAAATATATAACTCAGTACTGCAGTGAGTGACAAAGAGCGCATTTTTTCGTCGACGAATACTTGAGATCATGGACGGACGGACGGACGGACGGACGGACGGACGGACGTACGGACGGACGGACGGACGGACGGACGGACGGACGGACGGACGGACGGACGGACGGACGGACGGACGGACGGACGGACGAATAGACAGACAGACAGAGACAGACGGCATGGCGAGTACAATAGTGCATTTTTTCCATAAATGAGAAAATGCGCTAAAAACTCACTTGTAAGTTTTGATCGACGCCGCCAGCATGAGGCGTGAGGGCGACCGCCGCCAGGAGCTTTGCCCTGGCCACCTCAGCGACGATGGCGAGTAGAGCGTCGGGCAGCGGAGGCTTCACAAGGACAACATGCGCCAAATTTTCCCTGCATTCCGAGTTTCTGGGATCCTCAACTGAAAGTTAAGGATCTCGTAAGTATAAGATCCTCAAATATAAGATCCTCAAGTATAAAATTCAATTAGGGCAGGGTGGCCCAGTGGTTACAGTTCAGAGTACCAAGATTGGCGCAGAGAGGCGCGGGTTCGATCCCAGCTCTGTGCGCCAGTTTCTGGTCAGAATCGGCAAGGAGGCCGGGCGGTCAACGAGATTAGGTCTCCGTGACACGACCACGTGCAATCGAGAGTGCGAATGTGTGGTTAAGCAGAATTAACACAGCACAGCAGAATTGTAGCAGTGAGTTGCGTGTTCGAGAGCGCAACAAGCTGTGTGTATTCAGCGATGTTAAGAATCGGCGACGGGTCTACGGCCTTCTAAACGCTGAAACCGCAATTATTATATTTATTGATATAATTGAATTCTTGAATTCTTAACAGATTCAACGTATTTGTTATGTCATCACCAAAGGATAGTGGATTTATCAACACTAAGAAACGCTGTTTTGTTTTATAATAATAATAATAATAGCGGTTTCAGCGTTTATTAGGCCGTAGGCCTGTCGCCGATTCTTAACATCGCAGAACATACACAGCTTGTTGCGGTCTCGAACTCACAACTCACTGCTACAATTCTGCTGTGCTTAACCGCCCGGCCTCCTCGCCGATTCTGACCAGAAACTGGCGCACAGAGCTGGGATCGAACCCGCACCTCTCTGCGCCAATATCTTGGTACCCTGAACTTTAACCACTGGGCCACCCTGCCCAGTGGTTAAAGCCCACCACTTAAACCCCACAACCCACCCTTAAACCCACTTTCTTCCCTTCCTGCTGACTATGATCTGGATAAATACATTTTCTGAACGTCAGTAGGCTTCTCATGTATCAAAGACATTTCATAATAAATGATATTACCTCTACTAATGTCATATATACCCTTCAACCTAGTATAACTTACGCAATTCTAGTCTTAATGGGATTATTTCTATGCCAGCTAAGAATAATATTGAAACGATTATTTGTTTCGACAAAAATTTCATGAAATACTCGGTAACTTTTTCCATCGAATTGAATTGCTTTTGAATTGAACTATCAGTAAAATAATGACTCATATCCGCAAGATTTATTCATGCTGTTCAGGATCTTGACAGTGAAGACAAAAGTAGAAATGAAAACAAGATCCGTAAATACGTTTTACGCCAGTGTTAAACCCATCATTAAAATCAGCTGAGAGTTCAAATTTATTAACTTTAACAATTTCAGGCAACGAATAGGATTTTATCTAAAATTATCAGCTGTACACGCCCAAAGAAAAATATCGATATATAATATCAATGATTCAAAGTATAAATAGCGCATGAAAATAATAAGAAAAAGAGGGAAATAACATCCTGAAAAGTAAATGGAATACTGTGAGGTCAGGCATGGAGAAAATAAATAATAATTAACCCAGCAGTTTAAAAAAAACATACATGAAGGAAATTTACGAAAACTTTTGCGCTAAACGTCCAGCTATTTAGCGAGATAGTTATCTAGTTGCCACATGCTTACTAGCGCTTCAGCTTTCTCGCACCGAAAGTCATGATGAAAATCATCAACGAAGTGGAAAGTCACGATTATTGAAAGTTTCTTATATCAAAAAAATGGTCATCACCCAGGGGCGGAAGGTCTCAATTGTCAAGCCCGCTGAAACTGGCGCGAACGAAGCAGCGTTAGCATCTCAAAGAGACGAAGTGACAAGGAGGGACAGGTGACAATCAACAGAAACAAAGACACTCGAACATGAGGTCGCTTACACGGGACGTCGGCCGCCCGCACGAGAGAGACAGAGAAGGGAAATGTAAGGAATCCTACCTACATAATAACTTAATGTAAGGAATCCTACCTACATTATAACTTAACCCCACAACCGAAGGCCACAGTCAGGCACCGCGAGCTAAGCGGTGGGCGCTCAAGAACAATCCTAGGAACGCGAAATCCCAAAGGACTTCTGACGAGCACAGACACGCGACACGCGTTAGAAGTCCCCCCTGAGGGGGCTGCTTGGCAAATGTCAAAGTAATAATTAACCCACTAACCCTGCAGTTTAAGACAAAAAAGCGTATCTAATGACTTACGGATGCGCTTGTGGTAAACGTCGAGCTGCTTGATGAACTTCAGTACGGAATTTTTCCACAAGATTGCCCCGTCCGTGCAGAACGTCGGGCACTTGGACACTAATTCGGACCCCAGCGCCGGCACGAAGCATGGGTCGGCCTCGTCATGGGGCGATGCTGTGGTAGGTGACAGGTTAGTGGACATGATAGCCAGGGGAAAAGATAGCCAGTGGAAAAGATAGCCAGTGGAAAAAATAGTCAGTGGACAAGATAGTCAGTGGACAAGATTGTTAGTGGACAAGTTGGTTAGGCAATGAATATTCCAGCGCTCAATTTTCTTACATACAAATATTTCCAATTTCGTTGTCCTTACAACTGAAAAATCTATAAAACAAAAATATAACTAATGCGAAAAGGCTCAAATATAAAATTAGTACTTGTCTACTTGTTTTTTGGTGTGTATTATAAGGGATTTCGTCTTTTCATTTCACTCATCATCGCCTCAGACGATATAACGTTTCTCACTGGAGAACCATAAATAAGTTCTGAATGATAATTATCTATTTACTTAACTGAAATATGCTTTGAATCATAAATATCAACCCAATATAAGAAATATCACTTCCCAAGATCTTTCAATCAGACCCTGCTCTAGGCCCAATTACAACCGAATTTCCTACCTTTTTCAACGCAGAAGAACTGAAAAGACTCCAGTATGTTCTTGTGCAGAGATTGGCAGAACTGCTCGAGATAATCGTTGCATTGTGAGCAGTCCCCATGCTTGTAGAGTAGAACGTAATACATGCTGGTGAAGAGACATCGCCACAACAGATATTTCATCGTCGACTGGAAACTTGCGTCCAACACACCGGGTGCCAGTCGGCCAATCAGGAACAAACCCACCCGGCTGTACCCGATACTGTCCACAAAACTGAAACGCAAAAAAAAGACGCATAATTAAATTCATTGCGTGAAGAAGTCAAAGGTGGGCCAATCAGGAACAACCATCCACCCATCCCACCATCCACCCATCCCACCATCTAATTATCCAAGCATCCATATATCCACACATCCAACAAACCATCCACCCACACACACCAAGGTGGACGACGAAGGCGGCGCATCAGCATGGCCGTAACTAAGAAGTCCTAAACTTGACATAAAGACATAATGTGAGCCGTCGCAGTCATCACCTGTTGTAATCGTGCGTGAGCGTAGCAAGTTTGTGCAGCACCAACACCACAGCCTCGGCGCACCGCACCACACCAGAATATCTTCTTGTCATCATTCGGTAATTCAATGGCCAACTTAAGTAACTTTTATAGAATACTACACAATTTCCAGCCGAGTCCATTTGTTCTATGATAGACGCTTGATAGTAGGAAGAGCTTTTCTGCAGTCGGGAGCTCATGGGTTGGATGGTGTTCATATTTATCTGGATTTCTTTCACAAGGTGATTGGAAATTTGAGGAATGTCTTTCATAAGAAGGTGAATGTCAGTATAGCGAAAAACAAACTTCGTTCCTTCGAATAACTGTGTCAGAATGGTTTTGTGAATTGCGATCGCGACTTGGGCCTCAGCATTCTCAATCCTGTGAGAAATAAACATTTTTTTAATATTGTATGTTTAGTTAAAGAACAGATAGTAATATAAGTAATAATTTTCACTACCAACCCTCTCACTTTTCACCGAATGTAAATTCAAATTAAATAATTCCTCAAATTTTAACCGAATTAAACAGTACGGAGTGAGACACGCAAAAAAATTACATCAACGATATAGAAAAAGAAATTACTTGCAAGATACCAATACGCCGGGAACGTTACCCAAGATTTTCTCTGCCGCAAGCGCGAAAAAAAAAAGATTAAACTCGAACCCAGAGGGCAATCGGACTAAAAAAGCCTACTTTCAACTGAATAACTAAGACTTTGTCGAGATACTGATTCATTTTTGGCTCTTGTTCGGGTTATCCTGACCAGCTCGACCAGAAATAAGTGTCTGACTTTACGCATTTGTCTGAGTTTACGCATTTGTCTGAGTTTACGCATTTGTCTGAGTTTACGCATTGAAATCTCAGTACTTATGAATAATTATCTAAATTTTAGTGAAATTTCTCATATACAAGTTTTTTTCAATTTCTTTTATTAAAGTTTCATTAGAAGTGAAGTGACACTAAATGGACAGTGGGACCAATTAATTTTCTTATTTTGTTTATTGCGGTTCTACTAATGGATATTCCCAGCAAATTTCTCGGGAAAAAATGTTTTCCAATAAAAATATAATTACAAATTTCGTGTAAATATATACGAAACTCACGTAGGTTCCCGGCAGGTCTCGATGACTTCCTGCATTCGCTCGCAGACCTCAGCCATTGCGGGGACAGGACGAAGACAACTACTAATAATTATGCAAATGCTAAGCAAGACTATTTACTAGTAGTAGTAGTAGTAGTAAAAATCATTCAAATTCTTATCATTCAGATACTTTGATCCCTCATACACTTCAGTCTATAATCATTGCGCTCTCACAGTGATAATTTCTCCTTTTTCCACTGAAGAATCCTCTCAGTAAAATGAAAGTTATCAAGAAATTACTCAACTTAGATTGAACTAAAATTTTCCATTGAGCGCGTACGAGTTTCAGCTTTAAAAACCTGTTGAGTCATTGCAACGAGTCAGTGACAAGAACACAAGTTCAGCGATAGCTTCATGAGGACAATCACTTAATTATTGCTTGGCAGGGACACAAATGCAATCACGGCTTGCCAAAGACAAATACAATCACTGTTTGGCAGGGACACAAATGCAATCACTGCTTGGCAATAACACAAATGTAATAACTGCTTGGCAAGGACACAAATGCAATCACTGCTTGGCAAGGACACAAATGTAATAACTGCTTGGCAAGGACACAAATGCAATCACTGCTTGGCAAGGACACAAATGCAATCACTGCTTGGCAAGGACACAAATGCAATCACTGCTTGGCAAGGACGCAAATGCAATCACTTCTTGGCAAGGACACAAATGCAATCACTGCTCGGCAAGGACACAAATGCAATCGCTGCTTGATGCATCGGAGCAATCATTAAATAAATCCCATATCAAATCATAAAATCTATCATAATATAAATCCCATTTGTGTCCATAATTAATCATGATTTACCGAGTGACAAAAAACTTTGTATGTTCAACATAGAGGAAACTTCAAACATTGAATAAAACTTCCCTTAAGCCCTCACACGAACTTATCCAATAAATCAAGCTCAACTATTTCGTCTACTGTTATTGGCCTAACATTTTGAAAGCAAATCTCTAAAATTCTCGAGTAATATACTAGAGGAGAAAGAATAGATTACTTTGATATAGCCCCGACCATTCATGCAGGGGATTTGGTTGTGTATGCGCAGACGTCACGATCATTCGTTAAGGCACGCATCACGCACGAGTGACGTGCGTGTGACGTAGATATGACGTACAAGTGACATGCGTGTGACGAACATAAAACGCACATATGACTGCAATCGTACGCGTGACGCTCATGTGATTAACTATTGGCAGAACTATTAGGCGCGAGCTGCAACTACGGAGAATTACCTAATAGACAACAACTAGGCATCTAGCATAAACATGGTAATGGTTATCATTCATAGTTATCAATGATGCATATTAGGATATTGATGAATTTCAACTAAAACAGAATGGAGTAACTTCTAATGCTAAATATACCTATTGTAAATAATTAATAAGAAGGAAGGTACCTGAACAAAACAAATCTCAAAATCAGCCAGTTTTGCATATTTTTTTCAAATTATTAGAGAAAGTCTTTCAGTACCAATTCACTACAAAATTTTATAGAATCTTACACTACACCCAATAATTGTGGCTAGGTATGACTTTTGGTGCGAGATAGCTAAATAGCTGAAGCGCTAGTAAACATTTGGCCACTAAACTAACTAACTAGGTATCTAATCATCGATCTACATATTTTGTTTGAATTTAGCTATTGAGAATTTGTTTTAATTCGAATCTAGCTATAGACAATAAATTTAACAATTGCTCCACACAGGACAGATCATGTAGCTTTCCTATTATCAAGATTCAAATTCCAGCAGTTCTCATGCACTAAATTGGCAGTCGATTTACCGAATAAGGAATACACGAGTAAAGTAAATTAGCATCTCCCTCAAAATGGCTACGTCTGAACGAAATATACAAAAATTGTAGTCATAATTATCGAATATATAACTGACGCCATTACACATAAACTGTAACCAAACTTTAGACGCCAGGGGCGGTATTTTCATGATTTATTCAAGTACAAGTAACGGGTGATTTATGGTCTGCGATTGCTGGGTTTAGATCGAAATGCCGTCAGTGATTGGCTGACAGAATTACTACTTCATCTTATTTAATTTACTAAAATTACCAAAAAAATCCTACCATAACGATCACCAGGAATTGTCATCACCACATCAATTACAAAAAAATAGAGGTTATAGCACGATTGGCATCACGAATATTTTACAACTGGAGGGGGACCAAGGCACGAGTGACGTGAACGTGGCGGTTGCCGCGCTTCAAATGGTTCTTCGCGAGTCCAACGAATTATCTCGGCATGAAACCGAAAATTCTATGAAAATTTTAGGAATTGGATTTCATTTCAATCGAGCTTGATTTTCACGATTAGAATTCAAGAAATGAATGTCAGTTACATTCCATGACAACAATTCCACAATGTCAATTATAAGAATATATTAGGTCAGACCATGCTTTGTAGTTTGTACATACAGTAAAAGATCCACAACAATTATGATATGCAACTAACGCAGGTATGAAGAACTGTTCTACTGAATCAAATATGATCATATATCATATTGTCTGGTGGCTACCTTATTATAACATTGATTAATTTCATAAAGGGATTATGGATACACGCAGCAAAGTAATTCTGTCCGTTCATTGCACGGAACTATATATGAGACGGCAAGAGAAAACACGCGCTCAGAGAATTATAGGGACTTTGTCCAAATAGCGATGTACTTTTAGCACATGTGTGGGTCATTCTTACCCAGTTTGGACAAAAAAAAATCCGTATCAGCTCCCCGTGCAGAAAGAGTGTCACTATTTTGATAATTTTACCCGTGGATTTTTTCAAGTGCGAGCTGCAATGCGAATTCACCCTGATTCAAATGGATGTTCTTCGAATACATTGATTTTTATTGTCCCAATCGTGACATAAGATGAATTTAGTGTATTAACGTTTGTGTAACTGATATAATAATCACGAACGTATATATTTATGTTATATTTAGTGCACGAAAAGAAGACTTGGCCTGTTAACCTATCATTATTCGGTCAATAAATGCAGTTTCCCTCTAGAGTTCATTTGCACCACTGCAGTCACTGTTCCGCTAAATGGATATTCTGGGTCTTAGATATAAATCTTGACATTCACTTACACGTGAATTTGAATCAACGATTAACAAACACGCAAGCTACTCACACACGCACGCTAATCTCACACGCACGCTAATCTCACACGCACGCTAATCTCACACGCACGCTAATCTCACACGCACGCTAATCTCACACGCACGCTAATCTCACACGCGCGCTAATCACTTCCCATGCACCACCATTCGTTCGCTGCGTGTCATTTCTCTCAGCCACTTAAGTACCCATTTAACCGTTTTAACTCATTTAACCTCATCACCGTTGGACTTGACCAAGTAGACTGATTAATTCTCTGGTGAACGACGTGAATATAATCTGTCACATGCTGCTCCGAGGGATGCCCTCAGTTTAATCGACATTAATCGAGCAGATTGCGAGGGAACTGATCTACAATTGCTTTGTATCAGTGCTGACACCCTTTGTAATTTGTTAACCCTCTCTTAATTTGTAAATCAATTTTCAAAAATTTTTTAATTTTATCTTCTGTTAACCATTTTTGATTTGTTGAGCCATTGTCATTTATTAACCTTTCTTTTCAATTTTTATTCTTTCTATTTGATTTGTTATGAATTTGTCATTTAAAAAATAATTATATTTTTGTATTCAGCATTTTGAATTGTTAATCAAGATTTTAAACTGTTGATGCTTTGTCTTTTATTACTGCTCTCTTTCATTTGCAGATCTTGGTCATTTGTTCAGCCCTTATCATTGGTCAACCATTTGTGATATGATAAATGATCCACCGTTATGTTAACCATTTGTCTCGTTACAATGATCCACCGTTATGTTAACCATTTGTCTCGTTATAAATGATCAACCGTTAATGCTATTCAAAAGCTGGCTCACTAGCCCTGCCCTCTACCGTCGAGGGGTCAACGGGTTCGTTAATCAGATAAATATATCATTGAGTGATCAATCTCATTAGATCTTAAGCTTAATGAGATCTTGTTAAGGTTCCTCTGCTATTTTAAACCAAAATTCGCTGAATCTCTCAATCAAGCTTACCTAATTAATCCAGTAGATGTTATTTATTAACATAACGGACGTGATTAATGATCTTAATAAATGTGATCCATTTGCAGTGTCGTATCCTGATTAAAAGTAAGAGCTCAGCAGTGAATTCTAAACCATTGGACAACGACGACTTAAAAGTTTAACTTCATTCAAGATTTAATTAATATCTAAAATACCGATAACTTTAAGTATTATAATATTATATTATATTAAATTTCCCGATCAAAAATGTCGAAATATATTTTTACAGTTAATATGGCCGGAAGACAGACATCTGAGTCATTAATATATTACCAGACACCATCATCTTCTTATGGCTACGGAAGACGCACAAAGTGGGAGCTGTGGGGCACTTATAGTTCAAGATAATTGTTTAAAGTTATTATAAGTTGTTCACTTATCATGAGTAGGTAGTGGGTCAGTGGTAGTTATCATAAATCACATTATTAATGTGATAAATATTATTATTGGTAATATTATTTTCTGATTGTTATTATTATTAATTATTATTATTATTATTATTATTATTATTATTATTATTAATATTATCAGTGTTACTACTTGCGTTATTCCTCGAATAAACTATAGGGGCGTCTGGAAAAAAAAAGTCGAAGGGACTTTTCATCCTCCTGAGATAACTATAAAAAAATTGAAGATGAGCAAATAATGAAGCACGGAAAAGGATACGAACGGTTCAAAACCGAGATGGACATTACTCAGTACTAAGTGTGTACATTATAATCAAATATAATTAATAATTATCTACAAAATCTTGAGATTTAACACGCAGAAGTTGGCTGTTGCAGGTTCAGGTCTGCTGCAAGACATCAATGTTATCTATATTAAAGGAGACATTCTCGATATAAGACATCTTGCCAGTGTTTTGAAACCACGCATCCTCATTATTGTAAAGGATGTCTTCCAAGTTCAGGCTTTGCGATTTCATATCTTATAAATAAATTTTATTTATTTGAAAATCTCTCCAAAAAATAAATAACAGAGGAGTAGTTGAATCTTCGAAGTGATATGAGAAACAATTTCCAAAGCTCTTTCAAATTGGAACAAGAAATTCAAAACTACGAGCGAGAACCTCACAAAAGTTATTAATGTCGATGTGAATTGTGCTAAAAATTCATGGCTTCTTACCCTCGGTCATGTTTACTCAGCTGGCTAATCCATCAGACTGCAGGAATTTTGAATTTCAGCAAATAAAGAACAGGACGTGGGCGTGAGGAAAAAATACGTTCCAGATTTTCAGTATAAGAAGACGAAGATGTAATGGCTCGAGGGGGAGAGACGAGGCAACTAGCGCTGTACATCACTTGAACAACTTAAGCTTGGCGCAAGAATATTTACACAACAGTAAAGAAATGAATGGCACTGCATAAGTAATATATTATACACGGATATCTGTATAAAGTTGATGCATTTGCAGCCTGATATTTTATTTACACAGTATTTACGTGCTGTTCAGGCACATATCCAGGATACTTATTTTTTTTAAACGCCTCCCACACTCACCATTCCAACAAAAAAAAAGGAATTTTTATTAATTAAAAATTCCGATGTATTCCGATACTTATCGTGTCGGAATATTGCCCAGTAAGAAATATTATTTATTAGTGAAACAACAACACATTGAAATGGGGCAAGGGAGGATATTTCTTGTTAAGAATTTATTTTGACAAATAACTGATATACCGAAAGTCGTTTTGAAGTTTTTAACGCATTTTCTTATTTATAGAAAACAGTGCTATTGCGTGCTCGTCATGTCCGTCTGTTAGTCCGTGACTTCACGTTTTCGTCGACGAGAAAATACGCTCTCTGTCACTCACTGCAGTGAACTGAGTTATATTTTTTATTTTAGTATTTTATAGCTCTTGTTGACCTTGAGTTTTCCTAATCTAGTGAAGTCGACAGCTTCAGAAATTTTTTCTAACCCGTTTATTAAGTGCACTCAATAAGTTGTTGTTCACTTCAATAAAAATTAGTTACATGAGAGTTGCCTTCTTCCTATTGATAGTTGAAGTAGGAAAGAACCATACAAAAATATGACACATATAGTTAAGCATACAATTACAATTTTTAATTTCTTAGATGGAAATTTTATCCACGATTATAAGCTGAAATTTCCGTTGAATTTCAGAACGTGACTTAGATGGAAGCTTCATGAAAAGCGTGTGTATCAATGCGTCTTCTTCATATATGGTATCCCAATTTAAAAATTGTTTTCTGCCTTCGAGATAACGAATTTCGGAATTATGGGTTTCAGGAGGACGTGATTCTGAAATTCAGTTTGTAATTTATCCCGAGCAACGTTGAACTAAATTTGCCATTCACTGACTGTATTGAAATTCAAATTTTAATATCATTGATGTTTAGTGCAGGTCGTGTTGGATATTAATATTTAAATTAATATGAATAACCAGCATTATTACCTATAGCAACACAAATATTATTTAAGTCTGAATATTCCAAGAAAATAATCTACCAACTCCGCATCTACCAAAGTCCGAATTTTTATATAATGCAGAATGTAGTACAATGCACAAATATAATGACTGAGCTTAAACTGAGAGGGCATCATGCTCCAGAAAAGAAGGGAGATCGTGTGTTTTCGAATTTTTAAATCTTCTAACCAGGTTCGGGCAATTATACCTTTTTCTAAATATACTTACTATATGTAATATAGGTACATCTATGTTCATGATTAAACCATGTTTAACCTGTCACTATAAACCTGACATATTGTGTTAATTTTGACAGCTTGCTGTGAGTTACGGAACTGCTACTAACTGCTTTTGTATATTAATGCTTAAACACCTACTCTCTAAGTATAGTTTATACATAATCCAGGGAAAATATAAATAGTGATAGTTTAAATACATGTAATCAGAGCTGGGCAGCGCTACTTTAAAATGTAGCGGTGCTACTGCTACCGCTACATGCTCTAAATGTAGCCGGCGCTACCGCTTCCGCTACAATTGCTTCAATGTAGCGCTGCTACCGCTACCGCTAAATGTAGCGCGCTACTGCCCACCTCTGCATGTATAGCTGCGATTATAATTTTTTTATTATCTGCATAAATACAAATTTTAATAAGAGTTCTTCATTTATATTAGCATTCTTTCGCTTGGTTATCATTTGTTTTGATGTTACAATAACGTGAAATAACGATCATCAGAAACTGAGGACTATAATACCAGACCTACGAACTGTAAACTAAAACACCCAACTAATACTGCACAACTCATGAACCTTACTTCTATTAACTTCTATTAACTTCTTCTATTCTATTAATTTCTTATTAACTTCTATTAAATAAATGACCCATACTTCTGGGAGTAAGGAACGGATGTTCCGTACGCCTACACTATTACCGAACGGTTACGAGCTCGTACGTACACAATCATCAAGTAAACGGTAGCACTACATGACTAAATATTTTTTGTAATCAGGCAAGTAAAGAAAAATCTGTGGGAAAAATGATTCTTATTTATATGTTTTTAGTAAATATGTAAGTAAATACATGTAAAGTGATTCAAAACGCTCTTTTTGAAATCTCTCGACAGAAACCTTGGCGTTTACAAACCTTTAGTATTCCGAATATGATGATAATAGAACTCAAATATGCTATCGTGTTTTCGTAATTTATATTTGTTTCAATGAAATAAATGTACTTCAGACATTCGTAACCCTCATATCTACAGTAATCCTTTGAATATAGCGATCATACGTGGGATCTCTCCATTCCACCAAACGCTTATATGTGTAAATCATAGCTGGATAATAGACGTATAAATGGCCGTTCATCTCCCGTTCGTCTGGATCGCACTTGGCTCAACTGCGCTTTTACGTTGCGTATAGCCGTTCAATGCGGGCTATACGCAATGTAGCGTGCGCGTAGCAAAAAGTTCTACGGTTTCATGGAATCTTGAAGTGATGCAATAATTTCAATGGGACCCAATCTCAGTCGTAGTTCGATCTTTCAGTCTGCACACCATACAAGAATTTCTCTTTCTTTGCAAAGATTCCTATTCAGAAAACGAGGCCCTTCGTCTCCTCGATAATTGCCAAACCTCAAGCTGGTAACTGATCCTTTCTCAGGAAAGTAGGATTACTCCGTTCAAGAACCGAAGGATGTTTTGTGCGGCCGATTTATGGAGGTGGCAATTAGCGCTGCTGATGTAGTGCCACCGTAAATCCCGACGGGAAGATGGCAAGCGTACGTGGTCCAGCTCTTGAATATGAATGGTCTCTGCTGGGCGTCTGTTCCCACGGCACTTAAATGTCATTCACACTCAACCTGAGATGTCATTGCTCTGATATGTGCTCTTTTGATGAAAGTCTGCTCACTGGCGTGTAAAATGTCATTAAAAATCAACCTGAAATGTCATTATTGTGATATGGGCTTTTTTGGTAAAAAAAATGTTCCCTAGCGTGTAAAATGTCATTCACACTCAACCTGAGATGTCATTACTGTGATATGTGCTTTTTTGGTAGAAAAAACTGTTCCCTAGCGTGTAAAATGTCATTCGCACTCAACCTGAGATGTCATTGCTCTGATATGTGCTCTTTTGATGTAAGTCTGTACACAAGCGTGTAAGATGCCGTTCACATTCAACAATGCAGAGAATGTAATTGAAGTTATATGTACATTCTTGGTAAGAGTTTGCACACTAAGGTTGCAATCAACCTTAGCAAGACAATGTCTTTACTATCATATGAACGTTCTATGTACGAATCTGCACACTGCAATTACATTTAAACCTAAAAAGAGAACGTGCGAACTGGTGCATGACTGGCAGATGAACAAAACGTCATGCATCGACCTGGAATGTCATTTAATTTCAGTTATTTTTATTGACAGATGTGGTACCCCTCACACCTTGCATTTGGGTTTGCTGTGGGCTATGCTATTGATGTTAAGTCAATTTGTTTTAAGGGGAATTTTTACGTCAAAAATCTAAAATTTTGGCTTCCTTTTCTTCTATTTGTACCTGCGAAAAAGGCTCGTCGAACCCAGCAAACCGCATGGATACACGTACCCTAGTTGATGCGTGAGGCAGTTTCACATTTATATAAAATGAACAAGTTGCTCTACAATTTTACAGGGAATTCTTTAGGAAAAATTATAATTTTAGGTTATTATTCGCCTCATTATTCATTATTTTTATCCATTTTACTTATTTGGTTCTCCTGAATAATCGAAATTGCCATTTTTCTCCTCATTTAAAATCTATCACCTCCTCTAATTTTCAAGCTACACATTGAGGGACTTGTCATTCAATTTGTAAATAGAATATCTAGCGCCCTGAGAAGGCCTTTATCTATTTATTATATTATATTTTGTAAAAACTCGAGGTAAGTGGGTAGGAGGAGTGGGAAATGGAAAAGGGAGGAGTGGGAAATGGAAAAATCGAATAATGACTCCCGGTGTTGGAGCTCGTAATATAAAATAGGAGATAAATTTATGGAAGTCTTTATCCATTTTCTATGCATTTTACATTATCTCACATTTTCTCAGAAAATTCATATAACAAAAAGTTGTGTTATACATATGTGTATGAAGTTCCAAAAAGATCTATAACTTCATATAAAAATTTATCTTTTATCTGTAGACGCTTCCCTCAAATCTCATTAGTTAATTAATATATGTGGAAAATCATCGCAAAATAAATGCAAGCTGCCGCTCCAGGAGAAGCGCCAAGAAATGAAACGTCAAAATACAGAAAGAAAACTCAAATAGCTGCATAAAATATTTTTAAAAAGTAACCATTACTTTCGCTTGCACTACACTTCTAGTATTATGTTCATCGTTGAAAATTTTCAGTATATTTAAAACTAATACCACTGCTCATAGATTTGAAGAAATATTTTTGAGAAAACATGTGTTAATGATGACCCGAACTTCTTGCCGTGGCGCTGAAGAAAAATTGCTCTATTAAAGTTCACAATCCGCGCAGCGCCAGACGACAGTGGTCGGTTTGCTGCTCGAGTAATGCAGTGCCTGCGTGAAGTTCGATCGCATGCGTTTCGCCAGTACTGGTGACGGTTAAATACGTGTAGTGTAAGAAATCATGGTGTAGATTGTGCCGATCAATACTAAGTACTAGGAAGAAATGTGGTTCTTAATTGTGTAGTGTGGAAGGCCATATAATGAAGCTTCGTGCTTCGTTCTTATAAGTGATTTATATTGGCCAAAACCTGCTCTGTAAAGTTTATATGACTGATTGTAACTGAGTCGGAGGCATGACAGCGTTTTTATAAGTTTCCTGACAATTTTCGGCTGATGGCAGTGGAATCCAACCGAGAATGTTGAGCTCTGTTGTGAGAGTGCTATTTTTCATGGAAGATCTGTTGCGGAAGAAATCCTTTAGTTCCCTGCTGGTTGCCTTTTTAATTGAATTTTCAAATCGCTTGGTTTGTTGAAGAATTATTTAAGATACAATTTCTGTTCGTAACTAGCAAGCGAGACGATTTATCCGTGAAGCTGCAAGCGTTCTTGTGCCGCTGTATTTGGACTAGTCGATTACCTGTGAAACTTGTCTTGAAACGCAGCGCAATTGAATTCCATAATTTGCATTTTCCTTAGACTAGCTAGCGAGCAAGTAAATTGAAATGCCAGAGTAGTGTTCCAGTATCTGAAGCCTCTGTGATACTTTGCTGATGATGTTCACGATGTAAAAGGTTCCTGAGCAACATTTCCTTCTGTTCATGTAGTCACAGAGATGCCTTATAATACTGCGTTCAGGGTTCCAGCCATCCAGTAGCCTTGCCTATGTACACTCCTCTGAGTACAAATAGCGGCTGATTTCTCATCCGTGAGTGGAAAGTGTAGCATTGACGAGCCATCGATGCTTGGCTAACGTTGTTACGAATTTATAATTCTTGATGCAATGATCCCTGGATTCGTACCTGCGTAGCGGACGCCTAAACTCGCCGAGATCGGTTATCTGCGGAACGTTGTATTCAGTAAACCATACAGTAGAGAACCGCTAATTATTCTGTACCCGGCCGACTGCAGAAATTCTAATTACCGAGGCCTGTTCACCGATCATATCTGTAGCAAACGGGTTCATTTACTTTAAGAAGCTAGTCAAGTATTCCTAAACCCGCGTCCACGATTAACAAATGGTCAGTAATCTAATCTCTATATTTTCATTTCATTTATAAATATACGAATTTGATTCGCATTAACAAGAATTATTTGTAGCGTATTGCTAGTTCAGTCTCCCTTGGTTCGTTAAGCATGGTAGTAAGTAAGAACGAACACTTCTTTACGCAGATGCATTGAGACGTTCTATATTCTTTTAATCCGCTACCAACCAATTCGCCGATATGCTAGTTTCTAGGCGCTTATCAGTAATTTGAACTACGAATTTTTTTTTCGAATTTCGTAACTGCAGCTTACTAATGACTGATGATCACCTAGATATGTTCTGTCGCATATTCGTGTAATTGATGAATTGCAAATTACGTATCGCACTAGGAAATTTTTTGCGGTTCTATAACTATTTGAGAGGACATGGTTATAATATGAGATTGAAATGACTCCCACATCCAAAATTGCCGTCAGTAGTTCAGTTCGAGGGGCAGAAAGCAAACGCGAGCTCTTCAGTTAAAAACGCCAGAAGTCTGTATACTCTTAGGCTAGGGTATGAGTATCCCTCGAGTGGATACTTCTACAGTGAGAACGTCCAGTAAAAAAAATTAGTAACTCAGTCAGCCAATCACTAGAGACAGTCTAGCGAAATCCACAAAACGCAGAAGACATCGGTCGCGTCGTAAAAATTCAACTCCTCGACCTACGGACCTAGCTGGGCAGGGCCGAGAGGTGTAGAGCTCAATGGGTAGGATGTCGAAAAAAGTGTTCTACTCGGTAGACCACTGTAAATAATATTGCATTCGATCGTTCCGGATTCTGTTATCCATTGTACGGAGAATGCCTTCATTGAGCGCTCGAAAGCAAGGGATTTTAGGAATACAGGATGGTATGTTGGCGAACAGGTTCTGATGTCTTTAGTTGTGCGAAACTTCTGTGCTAAAATAAGGGTTTCGGCTCCATGATGCAATTAAACCTCGTGCTGTTTGCAGGCGTGTCAATAATTCTGGTGCTCCTCATGGCGGGCCGTAGGTTTTCTGGCAAGAAAAAAGGTATGTAATTAGCTCGCTTCAAAGATAGTCTCCGCCTTGCATACTTCAATGATATCCTAGAGTTCAGATGTGTATTGGTTTCGATGAAGGTTTTTTATATTGATAAATTTCGTTCAGGCGGTGATATCATACGAGGTTTTACCATTCATTGTATCGGTACCTAGTACTGAAATGATACACTTGTCTCGTTTGATTATTGGTTGGTATAGTTAACATTTCTCTAATAATTTTCAGAGCCGGATGGCAAAAAACCCACTTCGACCAGCGGAGGTGCTCCCAAGTCCCCTTCACCTGCGAGTAAAGACTCGCGTGGAGGCGACGTAAACGCTGCTACGGGAAGCGCTGTTGAAGGTGCTGTTGGAGCAGCTTCCGAGGCCAGTCAAAGTACTTCTCAGATACAAGAGAATTTAGAAAGAACCGATTCTCAGGCTGGAATGGGGATCATTGAAAGAGCTCCTGAGCTAGTTATCTCCGAAGAGCTGGGCCAGATAATAGAGGAAGAGATCGAAGCCGTCACAGAGCCATTGCCAAATTCCGATCCATTAAGGGTCAAATGTTCCGGTGCCCAAGGGGCATTCATACCCAGTGAAGTCCCAAGACTGGAGCCTTCGACCCCGAGACAAGAGCCTACCGCGAATCAAACTTCATTTAGCTGCGTTGTTGTAGCAGCGCCGAGACCACAAGCCCAACCTGTTCAGTCTCGTCCCTCTGGCTCCACATCTAGAAGCTTGTCCGCCACAGGCACGCCGAGCAGTCGTGGCGAAAGCATTATTCTGGACTCGTACTTGCCCGATCACACCAAAAAAGACTTCCTAGGAGTCCACCAAATCCGAGTTCCTTATCTGCCGGTCAGTGAAAAGCCAGCCCTCCTCCAGGATACCGGTTCCTTCGGGTCAGCTTGGCAGGAGGTGCTCCTCCGCAACTCTGATACTTTTTTCTTGGACGCTTTCACTTTCAACTATCCCAGAAAGTAAGTAGTTTAATTTGAGATGAACTAGAAGCTCGGTGGTGAAATAAGATTTCAGATATTAATTGAAGAGATAACAAATGAACTATAGTCCAAGAATGCACCAGAAGTAATGGCTAGGTTCATTCAACTTCGGGCTACTCTATTGTGACTAGAAGTAAATTTTGAATATTTTTAGTAGTTTATGATTAAACTCTTATTCAGTTGTTGGCTTGTCGGCAATAATTTAACGTAGACTTTTATACTCGCACCGTAGACTGGCACTGTGATTGGAAATGATTAATTATTAGTCCTATGGTATTCGGAGCCAGAGAATGGATTACCTCGCCACGAAATGATCAACCAACTATCTTTCCTACAGATATAGCCCGGATATCTACGCCTCCAGAATAACGAAGCATCGTTCGAATATGCACGAGTTGATAAAAGTAATGGAAAGAATTATCAATGCCCCGCATGAGCTTCAGCTCCTAGACTATATAAGGTCTCAGGTTATTAAGTCCCTTCCTTCCTACGTCATGCGCGACATCCGAATGCGTTTGATGCAGAGAGTTAGACACCAAGGATTCTTCTCTTCAGATGACTTGTTCAAAGAAACTTTCTCGATTACTTCAACATCAACACAGTACTCTCCCTACTTCACCCTGAAATCCTTAAAAGCCAGCGACTTCATAATCATCGCCGCACACACCTGCTTCTCCGCTGCGCTGGTCTTCCATCAGCTCGCTGAAGACGCCCTCGACAATGGAAGGTCGGCTTTGGCTAAACCGGATTTTCAATCGTGCAATAAATTGAGCTTTAAATTTTCTCACCTGCGTATTAAGTTGCTGTAACCCTAATTTGATTGAGTACCAGACTCCAAATATTGGTTATCGCAATGTAGTGGTTTGTATCATAACAAAGAATATAATTTGAACAGACGCTGTTGATAGAGGCAGAAAATATTTTAATTTCTTCAGTCTTAATTTAACGATTTGGGGCGCATGACGGTTCCACTTTGACGATACAAACGCAACGAGCTAGAAAACTGACTTTACCCGGCTTCAAGGTTAGTTTTCAAAGCCTGTCTACCCATGTAGTGGAGTTAACGTATATCTAACGTTTATTAGCTTCCTCAGTAACTGTACTTCCCTGTGCAGGCTGCTCTGCGTTGTTGCATACGGTCGCTGGGGCCTTAGGATGGCAGCGAAATACGTGTCCATCACGCACGAACTTGAAAGTTACTCAACTTTGGAGCTACTCTTCCACCAGGTCCTCACTACCGCCCTCGTGCGCTTAGCCGTTTACGCAGATTTAGATTTCGACGACCCGGGAGCTACCGATGAAGTTGAAAGGGCCTTCTTCCCGATCCTGGCTTTCCTGGACCATCAAATTGGGTCAGAGGACCCAGGTATGTAATTTACCCGTTGTCCAACTAAACGTAATCAGTTTTAAAAGTTTTCCGAATCTTCATGGCTGCCAACTACAGCTAAAGTTGGTTGATGGAATTATAATCGGTTAGCGAGAGATTCCTTGGCCTCGTAATGTTGGCGCGGATAGAAGCCACAACGATTGGTGAATTTATTTTTGGGCTATTAACCAGATGAATCATAGAGGGAGATTTAAGACTTTCAGCGTCAAGTCAGTTATTTAGATGCCAGCGTCAACTAGTATTTAGAGATGCCAGCGTCAACTAACTATTCAGCGTCAAGCCAGTTATTTACAGATGATGATCAACTCCCCTGGCCTGACATAACGGAGAAAAAAAGTTCAGATAGGCCTGGCCTAATGAAGAATTAAAATTTCAGTTAATAATAGAATACTAACTCTGTTCAGAGAACGCAATAGCAAGCTTGAAGCATCATTCAACTAATTTGAAGATTTTCTCTTGGATTGAAGCGGCTAATTTCCAGGGAGAGCATAAAGCACTACATTTCAGAGAAGACGTAGAGCTCTTGGGACGAAGGTGTAGACTTAATTATAGTTTCTATGAAGTTTATATCTGATGTCATACTAGATTTGCCATATACCCTCAGGTTGAGCCATCTTGCTTCACTGTATCGAGATAATTGGATAAAGTGATGAGGGGGCCGGTGCAGTTTTTGTAGTTTTACTCGGCCCTCAAATCTACTCGCAGTTTGCATTATTTTGAAAAAAAAATCCTAACTTTCTCCATTAGATCCTTGACATAGCACTCACAGATTGATATCTGCTCGCTCCTATATTCCTCGACAGTTACCATCGCCATCGAAACTAATTTTTATCTATCAAATTGGTACTGACTTTTTTCAGATGCCTACATGCCGCCAACTGATTTCAAAGAGTTCGCCATGAGCTTGCTGATACTGAGGCGCAGCACCTTCATCGATAAACAGTTGGAGTTTGAAAGGCTTTTTCTTTTCTGCTTCCGGTCATCGTCAAAAATAAATGATTTAACGCGTGAGTGAAAGAAACCGGTATTGAGCCTTTGATCGGTTATGACCCACAATCGAATGCGTTAAAAAGAATAGCATGAAATTTGTAGTTTTGCATTTCACTTCACAAATTTAATTTCTTTTATGTTCATGATCTTGCGTAATCTATCATATGCATTATTAGAACCTTCTTGCAAAGTATCATCTGGTCCGTCCAACTAGCTAAGAAGGGCTACGTTGCTCGTAACAAGTGAAAGCCAGCTTGAATAGTCAAATTGGTTTAGCGCGTTTTATTTTTTGTAGCGCCAGCAACAATATACCATCCGACGTTCGGCATCTAATTTCCATTGAACTGAGCTCAGTTTCCCTCAAATTTCTGCTGAATTTAAAGCTTTGCTTGCGAACTAAACGCATGTTACAAGTTCTCTATATTGAAAAAAATATTCAGATTTCATGATGCTTAGCAAAGTTTCCGAATGATAGCAATAACTTTATATACAAGATCTCCTCGCATAATCCTTTTTAGTGAAAAGAAAACTGACAATCCCAACATAGCGTCAATTGTATAAATTTCACACGTCCTTCCCGATTCCTACTTCCCTCAGTTCACATGAAAGTTCCCAACCTAAGTAATCTTGCCGGCGATAACAATCCAACTATCCGTCAAATCATGGCAATCCTGATGGAGTTTGACAACTGGGAGGACCCTTTGAATTATTACTCTTCCAACAACTTGGGCTCGGTGGTGCTGCGCTACAAAGCCCAGATCGCAAGCTGCATAGCCAATTTTGTCACGGACTACCTTCCTTGTTACCAGGTGAGGGGTGAGGGGAAAATAGAAATGCAAACTCCTGACAAGGCAAGTCGAGATCGCATGACCCAAATATTGTATTTTTCTGCAGTAAAGAAGAAATAGAGCTGCACGTCCGATCAGACCAAGTCAACCTTCGAGTTACTTGAACCTGAACACTACTTGGAAGTCTATAAAATAGTGCGCTTGAAATAATTATGCCCCTTAGAAGCAACTGAATCGGAGATTGTAAAAGAACTCTAATATCATTACGTTTTATCCTCTCGAAACTTGCTTTAAAAACTCCACTCGTCCATTGCCCTGCCCACAACCTGTTGGCTCTTCAAAGACTTGTTCATGTATCTGGGAACATATTTCTTGGAGACAGATTGTTAAATTCTGTCGATAAATTCTAGTAATTGAAATTCGTATTGCTTTCGATCCGTTGAAAAATGAGCTTTGGCCTTTAATTCTAGAGTTAAACCAAATTTTCTGATACCTCTATCAAAGTAAATAAGAGAAGTATGGAATAATGCCCTTATGTCATTATTCATTTTTACACTGCTTTATTCTGCAGTATGCTTTGAGCAAAGTGGCGCTTGCGATAAAGCTGGAGCAGATGAGGGTACCCAACATAAAGATCTGCTTCCACGAACAATGTTTGGAGACGTTCACCTCCATTCAGCTGGATTGTGCCCTTCGATGCATGTGGGTCAGTACATTTCTCAGATGCCTGCCTATAATCCTTCGAAATTATCCTCGGAAATATTCATTAGCTTGGAATCCTTTCGCTATAGTCATCGAGCAAGATGTTATAACCCATTTGTATAAATGGCTTTTGATTTCGGTCAGCATTCAGTCAGATTTAAGGCACTTTTATTTCTTAGGCCTCGAATTGTTAAAGTTCCTAGTAATTGACGAAATATTTGAAGGACCAGATTCACACTATTACGCATGCACATGTGCATTATATTTAGAAATGTCGCTCAACTGTGCAGTAGTATGGTTCATTCATTTGATCTCGTAACATTTGGCGGCTCTAATTTACAGGGAATGAGTTCCTAGTTGCTTAATTCACCTCCTGGCTGGCTTCCCTAAATATTTCTCGGTGCATTCCAGCACAACGATGTTAACACCCACGATAATGACCTGTTCCAAGTTGCAGAACCGCTTGGGTCCAATCCCGAAAAATCTAGTAAACCCGCTGAACGTTTCGCAAAACAGAACTTTTTGGTCATTAAGAAATTTGCTTTTTTAGTAATACTTTAAACCATAGCTTGTTCTTCGTCTCTGCAGGAACTTCAGAACGCGAACACAACACACGAAACTGTCGCTCTGCTCCAGCTAATAACTGAGAAGAGATTTGCGAGTTGGATTCCAATAAAGTTTGATGAAGCCGCCAGCCTCTTCCTGGCCCACGTTCTCTTGGTGGACTACACGTGTGGCCTTGAAAGGTAAAGCGTAAATTAAATGTACTTGAATATTTTATCGATTCCAATACTGACAATTATAATTAAGATGTAATAATCGGGCACATCGTGACGATCATGACGCTCACATGAATGACGGTTGAGATTTACATCTGTACGTGGGAAAGATTTCGTTTCTGATCTTGAAGCCCAATGGCTTGTGACTTGAATTTCCCCAAGCACTCTGTTTTCTTCGCTGAAATGTCAAAATGGTCGACTATTTCTAATATTGTGGATGGTGGCAATTCATGTGGTCCTTTATAAAAATAATTATAGCCTGACCCTCCAGACATGAGTAGAAGTAGTTCCAGCTGCAAAATTAGCTAGGATATGAGCAAAGACGCATCTCGGTCAGCATTACGAAGCTCAGACAGAAATTGGCAAAAACGTTTAATTGAAATCGTGGACAACGGGTAAAACATACTAAAAACGCATCTTGTTTAGTCATCCATACGCCAACCCATTTCCCTGAAATATGGTTCCCATCATTATCTTACTGACGCCAAAAATTTGAGTGGCGAAACAGACCATTTAAGGGTAGAGCTGGACCCTGAAACGTTTTTTGTACCGATATTGCTTTTTCAGCCATTCTTTGATTTTAAATTGCTGCCGAATGCTATTAAAGTGACTGCCCTGCCATAAATACTTTTTTGACCAGTTCAATTTTTCCAGTCGTCTGAGCGAACCCTCCATAAAAAAGTCCCGTACACACTCGCTGGACTGTATGGCCCGACAGCCTTTAACCAAATGGCTGTTCGAAGAAATCAGCACCAAGATCTGGGATAGGATGGAGAGACTGATGCGCGTCATGGAAAGTAAGAACTTTAACAACTGTTCAGAGTATCTTCGTAAAACGGTCAGACAGGTATTTTAGTGACCGACCGGCCCGTGAAAATAGCGCCGTCCCACCTTTTTTTCGGATTTAATTGAAGAATTCCTTACGGCATTAGGAAAAAACGGCAAAACTATTTTCGATGGACGGCCTTCTACCAGAGCCACGGTCCAACAGTTTTCAAGTTCTTTGAAGCGGTACAAAACCACAGAACAGAGCATAAATGTTGAAGCACTAATGCATTGACACACTTTGGGAGGAATGCTCTTTCTTGTCCAACTGTAACCATAAGCAGTTAGCAAGTGTAACCTTGAAACGCGAATCGAAATTCATGGAAATTCATTATTATAATAATTTACAAAGATGCCTTGGAGATTTATGACAGAAGATTGAACAGCCAACCTGAATTTATAATGTGGTACAGATTTTTCTAAACTAATTGGACTTCTCCTCTTATGTACATCACAATTTATTTGATAGGTTACTTTTATGTTTTGAATGTTTTTACCCTTATTTGCCATGACTCGTTTACTTGCAGAAAGATCCTTGCACGAGACGCTACGGCTGATAAAGTTAGGTTATTACCTACTGCCTGTCCTCATGAATTACTTCTCGAAGCACGATCCTGACGCAATGGTTGAAATGTACGAACTTGCGAAACAAAACGTAGATACACCCTTATCAGAAACCAGAGAGGACTACAAGCACGTTAAAGATCCCCACGCATCTTTTGGACAAAAACAGCTTCACGACTTCACCAAAACCTACTTCAATCAATTTCCTCAACATCGCCTTCAATCTAAGTGGCCTAAAACCTGGAGAGTGGAGGACCCAAGAGAGTTTGAACATGGAAACGACTCGCCTGTGTACGCGACATTCAGCCAGAGATGCAAAATAGATCATTTCAATCAGGTTTATTCGAAAAAGTTGGCGGAAATTAACCCCAATGCTAGTCCTCAACCTCGAAACATCGGCCCGGGGCAAATGCAAAACTTCCCGTACGACGTTTTCCAATCTGATCTGAGCAAGCGATCAGCACAGTTTGTTGTACGGTGCAATGACTTCGAACTTGACTACATCAAAAATGAATTGGACCTCATAGAGGCAGCGGATCCTGCCCAAAAAGTAGAAGACGTTCTCGATTTCCTCCTCGTGATGATCAGCCTAATTGGAGAAGTTTATAATTCACTCCTGGAAATGAGGTAAGTGTAACTTGAAGGTAAGACCAACCGCAAATGCAATAGTTCCCAGTAAAACATTGTCTCATAACATATAGACCATCCTCGGAATATGTTATTTATTGACGACTTGGTACTTCCAGAACATATTTTCCCGTACTAGTATTTATAACAAAATTATTCTGTACTGGTATTTTGCTCGAAGAGTGTGATACTGAAATGTTCAGTCACTAGTCACGGATTTATTTTATCCCTCGAAGATTGAAGTGCCTACCATTTTCCATTTAAAAGTACAATGTAATTTCTGAAGCGCATGTGTGAACACCTCTTGACTAGTATTTCAACATTCTCCAGTACAAACCAATCCCAAGACTGTATAAAGTAAAATGCGAAAATTTCAAAGTTTCAAAAAATTGTCAGCGCATTCCCGTTGCTCAAGTTGCTAATTTTTTTCTCCAGAGATGAAACGGTGAACCAGATAGAGCGGGATATGCTACTTAACTGGGCAAGGACGGTAGACAAGTTATTGGCATCTACCGAGAGATCCAGCATCAGCAGAGACGATCCCATGAAGACCGTCTTTCGTATTCTCCTGGAAGTTGCCTTCACATTCGGCTTTCCGACTCAAGTTTACATGAATCACCAGCCCAGCCCTGGAGATTAATCACGGCAAAATGCTTCCCCTGATTAGCGTTTGTCCTAATTATTCAAATGTTGATGTTCGTTACGAATTTTTTTCAAATAAATTTATTTCTTCGTTTAGTTCTTGATTCCTTGATTTTACCCGTAATTACGCTTAATATCGCGGTTATGTGGTTCAACCTGTTCTAGAATTTAGAATTGTTTTCCTAATTGCTAACATCAGGCGTGATATTAATAGGTACTGTATGTTCTCCAGTACAAATTGCCAGAATCTTCAATCGTCTGTAATCTATAGTAGTAGATATTTTTCACTTACCATGGTTCTTATAGAGTACGAAAAGCATGAAAATTTAATGATACGAAGAGCTTGTCTATGTGCTAGACGATAATATTCCGAGAAGTCCCTTCTACTGGTAACCCTACGGCATCCTCTACGCCGCAACTGCTGCGGTTCGAAGCACCAGTTGACTGGCAAATGTCCTCGAGTCAACGATGCAATCTATTTTCCTGAGTTTTAACAAAATAAATTTCTATCTCTGCGTAATCAACCTGGCCAGTCGCAGTCTCTCAACAAAGCTACCTTTTCAGGGCGCATGTTGGACACCATGAACTTGCTACTCAATATCAGTATGCCGCAGCCGAGGTTTCTATTTCTAGTGTCTCGAAATGGAATAGTGTTCCATTGAGACACCACGTGACGTCCATGCGTGAATCTATTTGTTTAGTGACTTTAGTCTGATGTCAATGACATCGGACTAAGTTACACAATTGGCCAATACATTAAAAATCAGTTTGATTGTTTAGAAGTCAGATTTTTTGGCCTCCTGAGGAAATTTTTCCTTCTTGAATTTAGTGTGATGAAAGTTTCCGGAAGCACGGCGCTCCGTTGCTCTTCAATGGAAGAGAACTTACGAGTTACGACAAGCATCTCCAAGCCCAAGCGTCTCTTGCAATAGCTGTCGATAAGCCGTCGGTTCATCGCGACCGCAACCTGGTACATTGATATTCAATATTAATTTAAATAACCATATAACAATATCAGTTGCCCAGGATTTGTCATCATCATTGCATGTCACTGATACAATAAATGCACTTCACGCACTAATTGCCTACTAATAACCACTCTCTCACTAGTAACCTATTTATTCCTCTTGTCGATAAAGCACCTGTTAAATAATCAACAGCCTATGGTAAAAGCGGCCAGTTATTTTAAGCGCTGAAAGCTCCTCTTGAAACTTGGGAATCCCGCGCCCACAGACCTGATCGGGGCCGATATCAGAGCCTACAATTGCGGGGCTTATTGCTGAAGCCTCTTGAGTGCTCTTAAACATCGCCTAAATGACCGCACTTTCTCTAACTATCAATTATGCGCCACTGTAAACTTAACCTTTATGTGGTTTTCATTGGACTTTTAATGAGGGGGAACTGCCATGAAAAGCTGCTCGTTCAAGCCGATTCTGCTGGCCGCAGCAATTCCAGTTGAATTACTCCCGCCTGGAGTGATAAAATCTATAAGATGATTGCGGTGAATGGTCGACTGGGGATCGAACAATGGTTTTATATTAATTCGATTAATGTACAAGAATCTGTTAATTTGTTACTTAATAACCAATTAACTTAAGTTAATTTATGGAAATACGAAGTTAAATAGCCTCTTAAAAAATGTTGACGAAAGACAGTGTTATTGATGAAAGATAGCATGTTATTGATGGAAGATAGCATATTATTGATGGGAGACGGTGTTATCGACGAAAGATGGCATGTTATTGATGGAAGAATATCTATTTCGGTGGTAAAATCGCGAGGCAGAAGTAGAGAGGATTTTCATTTAAATTTTGAAATATCATATCAAATTTGGTAATTGAAAATTTTATTAACAAAGAAAATGCTAGTTTCCTATGAACTTCGAAATTTGACCTTAATATGAATTTAGTGCTAAATTTAGGTTTGAACGAAGCATTCCTTTATTGCTTTCGTTAATTTTGACAAAAAATGAATTTATTCGAAATGACGGGGATTCTTAAAAACGGGATTTGGGATGACGAGATGCGAGATGATCGAGTTCGGAATAGCAGGATTTACAATTTACAGGAATATAACATATAACAAACAATGTAGCATTATAAATAATAATCATAATTTGGTCTTTAACGCTTTACAGTTTAGTCGTTTATGATCGGTGTGTCTATACTTTTAGTTTGTAATTACGAAAAGATGTTAATTTTGTTTGATTATTTGACTAGAAGTCAATTATGATAAATGAAATGGGCTGCATTTTCGTATTTCCGGAATAATTGGCGTCTTTCTCATTTTAATTTGGCGTTGATATCTTAATTGTATTTTTCTAATTTTAATCAATCCATTATAGTTAATGAACAAAAAATTATTAAATGAAACTAGTCTCATTCTATTTCGATTTTAAATATGCGAAATATCCATTGGTTTATAAATTAATTTCTTTCGAGAAAAAATTGTTTGAAGGACCTAAAATTATTTAATTTCAACTAACGTTAATAATATGCACAATTTTAAATTTTCTATGAATATTTTTAGCTAAAATATCACAGAGTACGTTTAAAAATATTATCAGCGTTCCAACAAGTGATAAATCTCGAGCATTTAAAAAAACATGAACTATTAACGTAGGTTATTCCAAGTTCATTTTTTAGAAGCTTTATAATTCATTCGTGACCAAAACCAATTCATATACAAAACACTATTACTCAACTCATATAAAAATATTAATTTCGCAATTCATATAAAATAATAATATCGCTGGTCAACAGGTGGCCGTTTGTTGGTCCATTAAGCCCCTGCACTGATAAAAATAACTGTGTCTAATTGTCCATGTATTGACACACTTCCATACCTACCTCACGAGCAGATAGCTAATATTGCGCTGACATGCCCATCCGTCGATCCTAATCGAGTCAAGGTGACTCACTTAAAGGCAAGAAGTGCATCATTATTCCGACAAATTTTCCCTTATTTCATTGTGTTAGTGATATTCACCAGCAACACGATTTCATTCTTTGAAATATTGCAATTTCCTGGAACATATCAGATGACGGGATATTCCGAATTTCCTTGTTATTTCTTTTTGGTTTTGCGCCCAGATTTTTCATTCTACAAATTGCTGGGAAACGCTTTCGCTTTATACTTCGTGAGGGAGGCTAGCAAAGTGCTTCTATAATTGCCGACACGCACTTCAAACAGCGAGCTTTTAAAATGGTTCGAAGTTGTGGTGACTGCAGCAGCAACACTGAAGCAGCACAGTGCAACACCAGCACCAGCCTGCAATAGCACAATAAATATTGCATCGCAGTGCAACTCCAACACCAGCCATCAATAACACAGTGAATGTTGCATCGAATGCAACTCCAACACCAGCCATCAATAACACAGTGAATGTTGCATCGAATGCAACTCCAACAACCTCAGTTCTTAAGTCTGCAGCCTGCGCACGTTCCTTTCCTCAGTTCTAAAGTCTGCGGCCTGCGGATATTCCTCCCCTCAGTTCTTAAGTCTGCGGCCTGCGCCCATTCCTCCCCACAGTTCATAAGTCTGCGGCCTGCCCACATTCCTCCCCTCAGTTCTCAAGTCTGCGGCCTGCGCACATTCCTCCCCTCAGTTCTCAAGTCTGCGGCCTGCGCACATTCCTCCCCTCAGTTCTTAAGTCTGCGGCCTGCGCACATTCCTCCCCTCAGTTCTTAAGTCTGCGGCCTGCGCACATTCCTGCCCTCAGTTCTCAAGTCTGCGGCATGCGCACATTCCTCCCTCAGTTCTTAAGTCTGCGGCCTGCCCACATTCCTCCCCTCAGTTCTTAAGTCTGCAGCCTGCCCACATTTCTCCCCTCATGCAGTTCTCAAGTCTGCGGCCTGCCCACATTCCTCCCCTCAGTTCTTAAGTCTGCGGCCTGCCCACATTCCTCCCCTCATGCAGTTCTCAAGTCTGCGGCCTGCGCACATTCCTCCCCACAGTTCTTAAGTCTGCGGCCTGCGCACATTCCTCCCCTCAGTTCTTAAGTCTGCGGCTTGCGGACATTCCTCCCCTCAGTTCTTAAGTCTGCGGCCTGCGGACATTCCTCCCCTCAGTTCTTAAGTCTGCGGCCTGCGGACATTCCTCCCCTCAGTTCTTAAGTCTGCGGCCTGCGCACATTCCTCCCCTCAGTTCTTAAGTCTGCGGCCAGCGCACATTCCTCCCCTCAGTTCTGCGTCAGAATGACTCGCGCAAAGTCCAGTTAATCACAACAAACTTCAACTACAAATCACTTTGTTAATTAGCTTTGGTTTACGACAGCTTTTGATTAAAGCTCAAAACTTTGAAAGGACGATAAGCTCATAAAATTAACTGAATTATCTCAGCAATTGTTAGCCAGGCGGGTTTAAAATATTTGAAGTGGATGATAAAGATCCCCACTATGGGACTGTGTCCAAGCGAGATCATCCCTATCACTGGCGGGTGATTTTTTTATTTAAATAAAAAGTTAAATTTTATCTTATATAAATCTAATTATTACATTAAATATTTATCATTAAACTAAGCGGGCCTTAGATGACAGATTTACAGATTAATTAAGTTTGCAGGTCTGACTGCTGCTAACTTATTCGATTTTGAAAATATTCCATGCTGGGATAATTTCAAGTTATATTTTTAGCACATTTTCTCATTTATGGAAAAAAGACCCTATTGTGTTCGTCATGTGCGTCCGTCTGTCTGTCAATCTGTCTGTCCGTCTGTCCGTCTGTCCGTCTGTCCGTCTGTCCGTCTACGGTCTGTCTGTCCGTCTGTCCGTGACTTCGCGTTATCGTCGACGAGAAAATGCGCTCTCTGTCACTCACTGCAGTGAGTACTGAGTTATATTTTTTATGAGAAATTTGGCCTGTTTATTTTTGCCTATAAATCCACGATCTAGGTTTATAAATATGTCCAAGATGAGAAAATTTGCACGATAATGTTCTTAAAATAAATTATACCCATTTTTATGCCTACAATTACAAGACATACATTATTAAAATTATGGAAATTTCTATGCCTACAGGGAGAAGGAAGTTTAATTATAAATTTTCATATAGAATTAGAAATGGAGGTTATGGAGCATGAGCTGCACTATCAAATATAGTGATTCAAAGTTTGTGCTCATTTGTTTCATCTTTTAATTTCTATTAATACTACGCATCTTATTTAACTATGATTCAAATTAGGATTATTTTGTAATCCAATTAACAGAAAATAAAATCTAATTTCAAGTTAAAGTTCAACTGTAATTTATAGTTAAATAATTATATTATTATATTATGTATAATTGTATATATTTGGGTTATTTATTATTTAAAATAAATATATTATATAATTATTGTAAATAATAGCACAATAATTTTGCCTACAACTGGCCTCACTCGTGATGACTTTCTATCTACATTATCTTTTATATTTATTTGATTTCCCGCTTTCTATGGAGTGCCGTCTCATCTTCGCATACCCTTTTCTTTTATTTGCTACAGAGTATTTATTTACATAGAGTACAGAGGATATTTCTTGCCTTTACAATGCACGCCCTGCGATGTATGTACTAAGAGCCTTGAGTAGTACGACGAGCGATTATGAAAAACATTACAAAAATAAATAAACTCGTGAACATAGTTAATAACTGAAGCTGATTAGCGAACGCAAAATATTAAAAATCTCTACATCAAAGCGTGTTGAATTGTTATCAAAATTACAATGAAATATGTACAAGATGAGATTAGAATTGAGTCACTTAAAACTACTTCATTTCGCAGTATAAATATTCATAGTTCAATAAATCGACAGATATTGCACATTTTCCCTCTTCCACCACGAACCTAAAAGTATAACTACCTTCACCGAATCGTTTATTTCAGTTCAGAAGTTGCCATATAATTTTTTTAATCGCTTATATCAGTTCAGGAATCGCCATAGAATCTTTCGGAAATTTTATAGTCTCCACAACAGTGGCCATAGCAGTCACTCCATGTCAGCCTAATTCGTTTTGGCATTGTTCGAAATAAGGGTGAAAAAACGGTCAATCTGGCATTCTCGTGAAAATATACCGTTTCGCCGTTTTTAGCGCATTTCCT